CATGTGTATTGTATTGGAACGAGCTTGGACTTGAGATGGCGACGGTAATGTAAAGGTATAATAAATTGAACTCTAATTGTTTGAATATTCCATCATTTTTTTCTAGTCCTATATTATTTCCTCGTGTTTTGAACACTTTGAAACGGTGACGAGAAAGAGCGAAGGTGCTTGTACCGCTGGGAAGCCATTATTCCGGAGCTAAATGCCGCGAGCTTCGAATCGAATCGATTGTTATGGTGCGTTCGAAGATAATTGCATCTTTACGATTCGTTGTCAATGATTCCATCGCGGGACTTAAAAATATTACTCCGTTTATGGATTCCGGAGGATTGCGCGCATAATCGCGGCCGTCGCGACGCGATCCTCCGCGCCATTATGCAAGGTTGCAATGCAAGCCTGCGTCGCTGCTAAAGGCCGCCATTTCGAATCTCTGCCACCATTTTTGCTTCGTCATCGGCTACGCAAATAGATCCTGATTGGTTAAATACGACAATCGTTTCTTATTTGGTTTCGACAACCTAATCCCTGTAACGAGAGATGATTATGGTAATCATCAGGTACTTGTAACAGAACTTACGATGAGGCTGTATGTATTAATCACATTAAACATGTGCTAAACGCTGAGGAAGAATTGTATAAAACCATCCTAGGCAGGATTACTAACTCTCTGATAATATTATCTAAAGCTTCTACTGAAACTATAGAAAGTACGAAGCTGAAGAAGAATGACTCGAAGTATCGAAGCCATTTTTACTGTACTTTTCCGAATGTGAATCGACTTGGGTCGACTAAATCACGCAACACTGGCATTACTTTACATTCACGCAAGTGGTGTTGGATCGAAAATGACAAAAGTATTAAAGGTATATAGCATGTTACTTTTCGTCAAACTGAGAGAAAATCATTGTGAATATTTCAAATTCCATTGTGGGTGATCAAACCTCTTCAAGAATAAAGTGCAACCTATGCTTTCTCTATAGTAGAGGCTTCCTAACCACCTCGGCGCCTCAAAGGCACCTCAAATTGAACCTAACATCGCGAATAACACATAAAACTGTCGAACCAAATAAGCACCACCTCCATTTTTCTTAAATTTCCTGTTAGTTCCCTATAAATTCCCTAGTGAACCTAACATCGCGAATAACACATAAAACAGTCGAACCAAATAAGTACCACCTCTTTCTTAAATTTCCCTATTAGCTCGATCCCTCGCTAAAAAGCGAAAGGGTCTCATCAGGTCGTGAGAAAAGCTCCTCGGAATTTTCTAAGGCCATCGCGATGGTTCACCGATGGTTCGCCAAAGTCCAGGGATGTCCCAGCAACGAAGAACTGGAACGCGATTCCATCGAGCAAGGGGAGGCGACGAGGGGTCGCGGCTGGAGTTTCGGGAACGGAACCGTGAGGATAAGAGAAGAGGGAGAGAGCACTTTCCGGTGTACTCACACCCCCGGGACCATTGAACGTCCATTAGCGGGCCCCTGCGTGGAATGCGATTCTGGTGGCTGCTGGAACTGGTGCCAGGCCGGAGAAAGAATGCGAGCGAACGGACATAGTCTATTGTAGAGCACTGTTCCGACGTTATTTGAATAACGGATCCCCTCTCCTAGTTATTCCCATCGCTGTTTCTTCAAGTTCTTCATTGTTTCGATAAGCGCAAATAGTCGGGATTAGTTCATTAAGATGTAGTGGAACTATAGAAGGCACGAAGCTGAAGAAGAATGACTCGAAGCATCGAAGCCATCTTTACTGTACTCTTCCAAATGTAAATCGAGCTCGGACTAAGATAGACTCTTAACTCATCGAGTATTAACCCTTTGCACTCGAGGCCTTTTTTTCTAGGATCTATCAGCAACTCGGGATGCTTTCTTAGCATTATTGTCTTGGTGTTCGATTGTCACGAATGCTAAGCTTAGATTGACTTTGAAAATGAGATCTCTAATTTGAGATTTGAGAATCAGATCACCTTTGGCTCAACGACAGTTATTTTATTGACACTTCGAGTTCCAAAGAAATTAAACCTAAAGGAAAGCTAGTGGTGACTGAGATAGTCACCTCTCAAGTGCAAAGGGTTAAAGACATAAGGTGGAGGTACTGCGATCTGCGACGGGCAATCGCTATACGGTACCTGCAATGGCGACGATTTCCTGGCGAAAGACACTTTTGTAGATATTCTGCGGAAAGGAGAGTTAATTACATATTTACATAGTCGTGGACCACGGTAGTGGACCACGCAGGATGATGAAAGCATCGCTATATAGGTGTCGCGAGTCAGTGAACTGAATACGAGTCTGGACAGGTGCGTGGACGCGACTAAATGCTTGTTACACCTGAGGTCCATCGTTGAAAGATTCTTCTACACTTTGGGTAGCTTAATCAGGAGGACGATGATAGTAAGACCTACTAGCTCATTTGTAACTTGATTCACAGATACTTATTTTTGATTGATTTTTTACTAATGAAGCCATGCACCTCATTGTTATTTGACTCATAGAGCCAGGTATAGGAATCCTCCATTTAATTTCAGACTCCTGCATTCTGAAGACACTTATTCCTGACTGATTTTGTAATAATGAACCAATGCACCTCCTTGTTATGTGATTCATAGAGCCAGGTATAGGAATCTTCCATTTAATTCCAAACTCCTGCATTATGACGACACTTATTCTTGTAGTAAGAACAACTAGGTCCTTTGTTACTTGATTTATACACCCTCCTGCGTTGTAAAGACACCTATTCTTGACTAATTTCGTACCAATGAACCCATGCACCTTGTTATTTGACTCACAAAGCCAGGTATAAGAATCTTTCATTTAATTCCAAACTCCCTCATTGTGATGACACTTATTCTTGTAGTAATAACTACTAGCTCCTTTGTAACTTGATTCATAAAGCCTCCTGCATTATAGACACTTATTCTTGACTGATTCCTTACGAATGAACTCATGCACCTCCTCGTTATTTAACGCACAGAGCCAGGTATAGAAATATGAAGACACTTATTCACCTGACTGTGTTCTCTGACTCCTGCATTCTGAAGACAACACTTATTCTCGACTGATTTCGTACCAAGCCATGGGCACCTCCTTGTTACTTCATTCTCAGACTCATGTACCCACATTCTCCGTTTAATTTCAGGTGTTCCTCCATACCAAAGACACTTATCCTTACCTGTTTCCTTGCACACCACCGGAGCACATAGCCTTTCATCGCCAAGAGTCCGGTCACCCCGCGTCCACCAAGAAGGACGTTGTTATTTGACTCACAAAGCCAGGTATAGGAATCTTTCATGTAATTCCAGACTCCTCCATTGTGAAGACACTTATTCCTGTAGTAAGAACAACTAGGTCCTTTGATACTTGATTTATAGAACCTCCTGCGTTGTGAAGACACCTATTCTTGATTGATTTCGTACTAACGAAGCCATGCACCTCCTTGTTATTTAACACACAGAGCCAGGTATAGAAATATGAAGACACTTATTCCTGACTGTGCTCTTCTGACTCCTGCATTCTGACGACACTTATTCTTGACTGATTTCGTTCCAACGAAGCCATGCACCTCCTTATTACTTGATTCTTCTTCCTGGTACCTGAGTTCTCCGTTTAATTTCAGGCTCCTCCATACCAAAGACACTTATCCTTAACTGTTTCCCTGCACACCACCGGAGCACATACCCCTTCATCGCCAAGAGTCCGGTCAGCCCGCGTCCACCAAGGAGGGTGGCCAACGTGGAGACGCTGCACCCTCCGATTGTCTGATCGGCGCCACGCCTATCTCCACCGTTACTTAACGTCCAACTGCACCAGCCATATTTCAGGCGACCGTCCAGACGAGATAATCGTTCCTCCACCGAAGGGTGTTTCAACTGCCAAGATCCTTAAAGTCGTTCCAGATCGCTTGGAATCGATCCGATCCCATCCGATCGACGGGTCGCGGAAATTTCAGCGTCCGATGTTCGCAGAACTGATTCTGCACGGGGCGAGAGAGTTCGGTTCGAGCGTCGAGGGGCATTTCGAGGCCTCCGGCGCGGCGTAAACTTCTCGCTAAAAGGTTCCGGGGCGAGGTGGCCGTAAATTTTGTCCGGTATCGAGTCGATAAAAGCGTTCGACCTTCGTCCGTCGAGTGGAAGTAGTTTTGATTCTCGCGGTCCAACCGATGGGTCTAGCGCGAAACGTCTTCGACAGATCTCAGGGTTAATCGCGGACAGGGTTGAGTCGAGCGAAACCAGACGCGTTGAGCCTTGCGCGACTTATTACGCAACAGTAAGTGCGATTAACCCTTTCAGTGTTACATAATCTTAAAGATACTTACAAAGCTAACATTTTGTTCTATATACAATCGGAAACTGCATAGCCTAACAGTTCGCGGTAGGATCTAG